ACTAGTTTCTTCTCAGTTTAACCCAAACCACTTCAGCTTTGGTACTGCTAGAGTCACTGAAATTCCTTAATTCTTTGGTAGAAGACACAGCTCACAGGACTTGAGTTCAAGCCTCCACCTCACAGTAAGGAAACAAGGCAAAACCAAAGACAAGAAAGAACAAAAACGTGTTAACTTCTCCTGAGGTCTAAAACATACTCCTAGTTTCCAAAAGAAGAATTTAAAGCTTGCATATCATAGAAGCCAGCAAGTCAGCACAACAGCCTCTGGTGCCAGATGAAAGCTCTAATGACCAGACAACGATTTGTTGATTCAGCTCAGGCTCCTGAACATATGTAGATGTGTCTCACAGTTACAAGGTGTTAATTTTCAATAAACAGAAGATCCACACCAAAAGGCATTTGTAACAGTCTTTGCAGCCATCTCTTGCCCCCACGCATCTCTACAGCTGGGACATCTCTGGGCCGCACAACGCAGCTGCCCGGGGGCGTCTCACCTACGGAGGACCCCAGTCAACGAGCACTCGGATCTGGGTCGAGCACACCAGGCGCAAGGCAGCTTGCGTCTGCAGACTGAGACACAGAAATGTTCCACTTATCCCAACAGGGCAGCTGCCTCATCTCTCCTCACCCACTGTCATCCTCTCCAGCAATACAGCTCTGAGCGGTGCACTGTAAATGTCTGACACTTATCCCAGTCCACGATGAGGCCGCTGTGCCCAGCAGCCCAGCAAAAGAACGGTTTTGGTCAGTTTTCTGAGCAGAGCTGACTTATCAAGCAATCAGACAAGCACTGACCCAGCAAAAGAGAAATTACAGGAGCCGGCAGTCAGGAACAGGCCGGCCTCTCCGAGCAGCAAAGGGTTGGTGGAGCCCATCGTGCAAAACTTTGTGTACAGCCTCAAAACAAAGAACCAATTCAGGAAAGGCAGCCTCTATAGCATATACTTTTCCTTCTTTTCTTGAAGAGTCAACCAGCCCCTGGAGTACAAAGCAGGGCAGTGGGATACATGGCACCCTCTTAACAGCTGCAAGAGGGAACCCTAACTTCGGAGCAGAGATCAGGCTAAGGAACGACCAAGAAATGTTTTTTTCTTCAGAGACTAAAGGAAGAACATATTCAAATCTATATAAATAGCAGAAAAACTCTCAAGGAATTCATACCTCAACGTACTTGCAATTTAAATAATCATTCTCAGAAAGTACATGAGTCACCTTACTTTTCAAATGATGCTACTTCATGGCAGAGTTGTAAAAAACATCAAAAGCTAAATGGCAAACTTCTACATCTGCCATCCAGGATAAGGGAAAAAAGTTCTTTCAAGAAGGCTTCACAGAACATGGAATTAATCTTGAGAGCAAGAATCATCAATTTGCAAATGATTACATAGAAATGCAATCAGTTGGGTTTCATGTAGAAACAGAGGTACATCCATATGTATGTACTGGAACAGGTTGCCCAAGGAGGCTGTGGATGCCCCACCTCTGGAGGCATTCAAGGTCAGGCTGGATGTGGCTCTGGGCAGCCTGGTCTGCTGGTTGGTGACCCTGCACATAGCAGGGGGTTGAAACTCGATGACCACTGTAGTCCTTTTCAACCCAGGCCATTCTGTGATTCTGTGATTCTATGATACGAACATTACACACAGCTGAGACCAGAATTTCCTTTACTGCCCCCGAACCTGACCAAATAAAACATTGATTTCTAAGCTACCGAGTTTCATTTACAAATCACTGAAGATGCAACCGCACATAAAGCTGCACTAAGGTGGATGGGCATTTCTTTCCTCTTCATGAGGAACTGGAGAGGGCACGGCTTTGCTGACATAATGATGAAGTTTCAAGAAGAATCCTTAATTTTGAACAAAAGCGATGCTTCCTTCTCTTCCCCCATCGTTCTGGCTTTGAAGAATAATACCTTCATTTCAAAAAAACAATATAATTTTTAATGTAAAAAAAAAAAAAAAACCATCAAAAAAGGTGCTTGCATTTTAAATAGCAAAGATTGTTTGGGGAGCAGGATTCCTATACTTGACATAATAGGCAAACTGCATAAATCACTGGATAATTTCTTACCCTACCTGCCACTGAGACATGTTGGAAGCTCAGCGTACGCTCGCTGACAGACAAAACATCTCTGGAGAAGTGCCATGCAGAAAGCTGCACAGGGACACTTACAGTTTTTAATTGTCAGTTTGACTGACTTCTCCATGCTTCGTTATAGCCAGTGCCGTACCAGCGCAGCTTCACAAAGCACACAGCCTCAGAAAGCTAACTCCGTGATTATTTATTTCTCAAGCATTTCAGACAACATTACACTGTGCAAACAAAAGCTGCATCACATGCTTAAAAAAAAAAGCGTAAGTTCATTCAAATCTACTTCAAACCCAGTACACAAGAATAAGTGACATCTATGCAATGCCCCTAGATCAAGTTGAGTACACGAGTCATGGATAGGATAAAAAAGGACAAAGACTTCCATGCTGACAATAGGATTTCTGCACAGTCCAGACACATTCTAAGAATAACTAGCTGTACATCAGGGCCACGTGCCTGCCCACACCACACACCTTTAACCTTACACAGACAATATGTATCATTATGATAAAAGAAGGCAGGACACGGCTGACTTAATAACTGTGAAAGAGCATCAAAAATTGGAGACTGAGAAGAATCACAGAATGGCCAGGGTTGAAAAGGACCACAGAGGTCATCCAGTTTCAACCCCCCTGCAATGTGCAGGTTTGCCAACCACCAGACCAAGCTGCCCAGAGCCACATCCAGAAGAATGCCAAGGGTTAGGCAAGGACACCAGGTAACATCAGAAGACAAAGCCCAGAGCTTACACAGGTGCAAGGAGCTACTGGATAGCCTCAAGGAAAAGTTGAGCACACAGCGAGGTAAAGGCGTTTTTCTGCTAGAGTATATTCCATACAAAGCAGAAAGGGACAGGCGGCTTAGGGGGGCATTTATAAGAACAAATGAATAGGTAGATACAGAAATGAAGGGACTGACAGTTTGTCTGTCTTCTGCAAAGCACCAAGGAAACTATGAAGCCCACAGCACACAAACACACGTTACAGTCTTCTGTTCAGCAGACTGTAACTGCACAAGGCTGTGGCCGGGTGCTCAGCCTGTATACAGAGCAACTAAACCCAGAGCGTAGGCTCATAACCTCGTAAGGCACATCACAGTGTTTGCCAGAAGAAAGGAAACATACATTTACTAGCATTAATATATGGACAACAGTAAACCGAAGTGGTTATCTGGAGATGGACAGTGCAGGATGAATGCTCCAGCATCACACAGAGCATAATGGGGCTGGCACACATCTGTCAGAGCTGCGGGCTGCACAGCACTGAGGCACTCTCCTGACTACACACGGGAAGGCAGCAAAGAGCCTCTAACACAGCAGTGAATACTGCCAGCACGACACAGCCTCCACTAAGCATGGTTTTACACGCGTCCTAATGAAGTCACAACAATTTCAACGCACAGGCTGGAAGAGAGGAGCAAGAAGCCAATTCACCCAGAACTTTAAGATCTCAGGCCGTGGCGTTTTCCTTCAGAAACCCGGCAGCAGCCTCCTGTCGCTCCAACCAATGGAAGGAGTCCTCGGAGCGGAGCGCAGCTGGGAGAGGACAGAGACCTCCCACGGCCCGTCCCTTTGTCACCGGCCGGCAGCACGCAGCCAGAGCCCAGCACGGCGGCTGCCAGCTCCTCCGAGCAGCCTCCCCCACACACCTGGGGCTCTCGAGCAGCTCGGTATCACTGCCCTACTGACTATGCGGCAGCACAGTGACTGCTGTAACCTTCATGCAGCCCCAGACTTCACAGAGCTGTGGAGCGGTCCATCGCAGCTTATTATCAGTCAACGCGCTTCTTCTATGAACACCTTCAGTAACCAGCGTGGCTGGAACTGAGTGATATCAGTACAAGGGAGTGGCGTTTTGGTCCAGGCGATCAGAGTAATTGCCGGTTCAGAGTTAGAGGCATACACAGAGACATGGTGAGCCTCAGACCTGCACCTTTACTGCAAGGAGCAAGTTCTGACAAACTTACACAGAGCTCCCATAACCCAAACAAGCCACTGCGCTTCCAGCTCTAAACAGCGAGACGCTGTCCTTAAAGGCGTGACAACCGCGTTTTGCCCGTTTTTACAGTTTACAGAGCTGCCTGAATATGTTTTCCTATACCGTGCATTGAGTCGAGAGAAACCCAAGAGCAAAAAAGCAATCAGAGCAAGTCAGCTGCCGAAAAACTGGAAGAGCTCCTCTCTCATTACGGCACGGAAGCCGCGAAGCGCGGTGACGGCAGCCGGATAGCAGCCGGGCACGCACCCCGCTTCCAGCCAGGGCTCTCCGCCCGCTCCCGACCCCGCTCCGTGCGGGGGCCCCGCTCGGTGCCGCGCCGCGCCGGCAGGGGGCACCACAACCGCCAGCCGCCCGTTTTTGTGACGGGGTATTTAAATGTCCGCTGTCAATCACCGCGCACTTCCTACGCCGCCGCCGGGGCTCCCCGCATAATGGGGACGGCCGCCGGGCCCCGCCGAGCCCCGCGCCGCGAGCCCCCAACTTGCTCCTTTGTTCGGCCGCCCCCCCGGCCGGCAGCCCGCTATTATCCGCGTACAGACACGCGCACGCCAGACGGCCGCCCGGCACCGGGCTTCGGCCGTCACCGCGCGAACAAAACCCGCGGAGACCAGCGGCCCCCGGCGCGCAGCCCCCGCGTCCCGGCGCGGAGCCACGGAGACGCGTCCCCCAAGCCGCCGCAACTTTGGGCACGGGGGCCCGCGGCCGCCGCCGCTCGCTCCCACCGCGTGCCCGGGGCCGGCACCGCGCCGGGAGCGACCCGACCGCGGAGCGAAGGGCGAACGAGCCGGTGAGGTCGTGGCCATTGTCCGCCGGCCGGTACCGGTCGGGGGGTGCCCGCCGCCTCGCCTCGCCCCGTCGTCGCCGCCGTCCCGCGCCCCGCCGCTCGCCGCCGCCCGCCGGCGCCTACCTGCCGTGGAACCAGTCCTTGCAGATGTCGCACTCGATCATGAAGCGACTCACGTCGTAGGGCTCCCGACACACGCAGTACACGGGGGTGGCGGCGGCCGCCGCCGCTCCGGCCATCTTTAAAGAACTCCCTGACTGAGGCGCCCGCCGCTCCTCCCCCGCCCGCCGCCGCCGCCGGCACCAATAACAACAGCGCGCGTGCCAGCCCCACACGCCGCGCGCGCCCCGCCGCCCAGAGGCAGGCGGCGCGGGAGCGAGCGGACAACAGCGCGCGGGGACGCGCGCACGTGCGTCACCCGGCCCCCGAGGGGGGGGGAAGGGGGAGCGAGCCCCCGCGCCTGCGCTCCGCGGGCCGCCCCGCACTTCCCACTGATCGTGCGCGAGGAGCGGGCTCCCATTGGTTGCCGGGAGGGGGAGCGCACGTGCCGCCCTCCCGCCCCTCCCCTCGGGGGGCGGGGAGAGGGGAGGCACGCGCGGCCCGCCCCCCTCCCCCGGGCCGTGTCACGCGGGGAGGCGGTGGGGGAGGGGCAGGGTGCCGCGAGGACACGGAGAGAAAGAGCGCGGGCCACGGCGCGCGCCTACCCTCCATCCCCCCCCCCCCCCCCCTTCCCTTCTTACGTAACCGCGGCGGAAACAGCCGAGCAGCGCCGAAAACACCCGAAGGTCGGGCTGCCCGCGCAGGCGCAAAAGCGTACGAGCGCATACAGGCTCGGCGAGGGGACGGAGGGCTCTGTGGACGGTGCTGTCAAGGTCTGGTGGGCCAGCGCCTTACCCTGACAGACTGTCCGCGCCGACAGCATTGCCGTGTTCGCTCCTCTGCCCCTAACTAACAGCAAGGGGCCGTCCTGTTTCCTAATGCGTCCCTGTATTTCCACAACTCGGAATACAGCCACGGATGCACCACCAATCCAAAGAGTTTAACAGCAGTAGAAAGGACTGGTAAGTAACAAATGGTGGTTTCAAGGTATCTGGAAATAGTATGTTCCAGAGCATCTTCATAGAATCACGGGATCATTAAGGCTGAAGAAAACCACTGAGATCACTCAGTCCAACCATCCCATCCCCCCCATGCCCACTGCCCACGTCCCTCAGTGCCACATCCACACGGCTCTGGAACACCTCCAGGACAGGGACTGCACCACCTCCCTGGGCAGCCTGTGCCACTGCAGCTACACTCCTGCTGAGCAGAAATGTTTCCTAATATCCAACCTGAACGCCCTCTGGTGCCATGAGGCTATTGCCTCTCATCACTGTGCCCAAGGAGGCTGTGAATGATGGAACCCCATCCCTGGAGGCATTCAAGGCCAGGCTGGATGTGGCTCTGGGCAGTGTGGTCTGGTGGTTGGCAACCTTGCACATGGTAGGGCGCTTGAAACTAGATGATCTTCGAGGTCCTTTTCAACCCAGGCCATTCTGTGATTCCTGGAACCATTCACCTTACAGTTGTACATGCAGCCTCACTGTAGCCTGAAAGCAAACAGCTCCCTGCTCCTTAGTTGCTGTTTCTTGAATCGTCGCTTGCTGAATTTTATCTTGAAGCTAAGCTCACCAGCTGTAGTGGTAACTTTACCCAAATTGGCCATAAAAATGCACACGTGTTGTGTTTCAGGAGGTCTCTCTAAGTGACGAAACCTGTAATCACCTTGGTAAAGCATACATTGGGTATTCCCACAAGAGATGCATGAGGCTGCCTGAGTTGCCTTGTATTCCTCTGTTCAGGGTTGGCTTGGTGTTGCTTCGTTCAATTTCGGTTGACTGCTGACTGTACAGCAGTGAGAGTGCCAAGAATGAGGAAGCAGAATGAAGCAGGTCCCCTGCAGGGACTTTCCCTTTACCAGCCTTGCATACTGCAGCAAGCACAGGTTTTGGGGAGAAAGAAGAAGTTACAGCTTCAATCACGCAGATCTAAACTCAATATTTAACAAGTACTTTCTTTGCTACCACAAACAACATCCTTTTGCTGTTGTGATTTCTGACAGAGCAAGCTATACCAGCGGCACAGTCTGCTGTGGGCACTCTTTGGGCAGGTGGTGCTCATCTGCTGCAAGAACATAACATAAAACAGCTCCATCGTGCTCCCTGTCAGATCCTCTCTTGTCAGCTCTTCTCTGCTCAAGATTCCTCTCCAAGCAAATCCATTAAGCTGTACTTGAATGTGGCACAACAGAAGTTCAGAAGAGCAAAAAGACCACACACTCACTGAAAGAGAATTACAAAACCACTTTTAATAAGTATTCTTCTCACAAATATGGGTAGCCTCATTACATGCAGTTTAGAAGCAAAAATGGCAGTACCAGCCTTGAACATACATAAATCAGATAAGTCTGGTTAGAGCACGCTCCCTGAAACGTGAGGGAAAAGGTTGTCCTGCTCTGCTCTGTGCTGTGTGGCTTCACCTCAAGCACTGGGTGCAGGTTTGGGTGCCACAATATCAGCAGGACACAAAGCTATTACAGAGTGCCCAAAGGGGGGCTGCAAAGATGAAGAAGGGTCTGTAGGGCAAGTGTGAGGAATGGCTGAGGGCCCTCGGTTGGCTCAGCCCAGAGCAGAGGAGCTGAGGGGAGTCCTGATGGCGGCTGCAGCTCCTCACAGGGAGCGGAGGGCAGCGCTGAGCTCTGCTCTGTGTGACAGCAACAGGGCCCGAGGGAACGGCATGGAGCTGTCAGGGGAGGGCAGCTGGGGGTCAGGGGTCTGCACCAGAGTGTGATGGGCATGGAACAGAATGCCCAGAGCAGTGGGCATGGCCTTGAGTGCCAGAGTTCAAGCAGCGTTTGGACAATGATCTCAGACATAAGTGTTTGATTTTGGGTGGAGCTGTGCAGAGTCAGGAATTTGACTTGACAATCCTTCCAACTCAGGATTTTCTGTGATTCTTTGATCCTTCTATCCTCAGCTCCACCAGAACGTGCTGTGCCTGGCACAGCCACAGGCAAACCCAGCTTTCACCCTGTGTACCCAGCCAGCCCCAGCTGTCCTCAGCCCCATGCCCAGACTCCAGCAAAGACTCTAAAAGCACATCTGTGAGCGCTGACAGGTGGCAAGTTCCAACGCTTAGAGGCAGTGACTTCACGCCATGTTTTGGCCTGTGGGTGGAGAGAGCATCCATCACCACACACTACAGGCACCCACAGTCCGTGCCTGGCCTCACATATCTCCCTAAGCATGTGCCACACACTGTGTGGGATGTGTGACACAGGAAGCTTTCAGGGAGGATAGAGAAGAGGGAGCAGGGCAGGGAGGCTGATGAAAGGGAAAAAGGGAGGCATCCTATTTTCCAAGACTTCTTTGTCGCTCCTGGGTACTGGCTGAAGCATGCATACATATGCTTTTGTAGACCATGTGTCTCCTGGGAGCAGGGGACAGAACTCAGACCCATCATCTGGGGGATGGTAGCACTCTGGGACACCCAACACCGAAGCTGCTGCATTCAGCAGTTGAAAGCATAGCCTGCAAGCAATCAGGACCAAGAAAGATCAAAAAAAGAAGTTGGACATTAATGGGTGTTTTCAGAGTAGCAAGAAAAGAATCAGATAAGTTGGTGGGAAAACACAGTGGTAAGAGGTACTTTCCCCATCCTTGGACATTTTTTCACTATATTTTTGTCCATTTTGCAAGAGGACTCCTTTTTAATTTTTTTTTCTTTATTTCCACATCAAGAGGATGTAAGCTGCCAAAAACCAAAGCTCTGGAATAAAAAGCGTTCCATTTCTCCACATGAAACTGCCCAGAGTCTACCCAGAATTGGCAGTATGATCTTCGCATCTGCAGAGAAAATACTGAGTCATGTTGTCAGCCCACACACATCTAACAAAAATAAAAGCAGCCCAACGATTCAAGATTCACCCCCTCACCACGTAAAGAAAGCACAAGTCATTCAACCATGCCTCGTGCGTCGGAGACCTTTAGAAAACACCCGGTGCAGGGAACATTCGCCCCCGGAACACCCACACACCATTCCAAACAGGCGACAGCATTCTCAGCCCATTCACCAGCCTGTTGTGACAGCACTCGGTTTAGCGTCCATGCAGGAAGTTGCAAAGACTTAAAGGTTTCTGTTGAAACTAAGTTTATGTTAAGTACCACAGAGCTCAAGCTAGGAGTGTTGAAATGTTGCAACACTCACTTGAGTCCAAAGCAAAGGCAGCAATGAGTCCTGTACTCTATTGCGTAGATGAAGTAGCAAATTTAAACCAGGATTTCTATGAGATGCCAAAGAGCTCTTTTCCTGCAAGAGTTAATCCTGCATGGGACATTGGCTTTCCCTGTGCTGCGCTCACTGGATTTGAAGGCACTCAGCACGTAGCAGAATGGAGGCATTTGTACACACATCAGGATCTGGGGAATTACCCCTTCCCCTACCTGACATTGTGCCCTAGCAAGAAAAAGCAAGTCTCTGTGTTTCATCTGGCTGCTGAAAAGCCCTCTTTCCCCTTTGGTGGTGGTGCTGGTGGAAGCACTAGTGGATGAGTACGGAGCTGCCTGGCAGATGATGGGAGGTAATGGCCTTAAGCTGCACCAGGGGATATTCAGGTTGGATGTTAAGAAAAAGTTATTCTCAGAAAAAGGTGGTGCAGCGCTGGCACAGGCTTCCAGAGAGGTGGTGGAGTCACCATCATTGGAGGTGCTGAAGAACTGTATGGCTGTGGCACTGAGGGACATGGTTAGTGAGCATGGTGGGGATGGGCTGGCGTTGGACAGAATGATCTTAATGGTCTTTCCCAACCTATGATTCTATGAAGATGGAGTAGGGGCATCACCACACACAAGATGCAGTGTTGCAGTTGCTGTGGTGCTGGTAGCGATGCGGGAGATGTGTCAGGACCCCAAAGGCCGTACCTAATTTGTGTTTCTTTTTACACAGCATGGCAGTAACTGGAGCAAAAAGCAACCCGTTGGGTTTTATGCTGGAAGTTGGGACCAGTTTACATAGCAGCTATGGCAGTGGGATGGAACACTGAATGGGAAGGAAAGACAAAATCTTCTACACCCCATTTCTCAGCATTTCCTTTATTGTTCAGGAAGGCCACATACTATGTAGCAACAGTCTAAGAAGCAACTTGCTCAAAATGCAACAATTGCTTAACACTTTTTTTTCAATTGCATAATACGAAGGAAAAACAAAAAGAGAACTGAGAGCTGCCAT